CTATCCGGCCCGCGCGACATTATTCCTAATCTGACGAGTAAAAAAGAATACAGGCTGTGGTGGTTGATGCACCACTTAACTTGAGTGTTCGTTGATTATATAAAATAACCGAAGCTTTATATCTCACCATGAAAGTTTATTTACAATCATGTACAAAATTTTGTTTTACACTTATTGAGTAAAAGCTCGATCGGTTACAAGCATGCTTCGGTACAGAACATCCACTCGTCGTGCGTAGCGTAGCCGAAAGAGAGAAAAAGAAATATGGCGGACGGCCTGCACATGTTTTTATAGCGCCACCTGGATTTTCAGATGCAGCGCTAGGTTACAATTATATTGGCCCGCCTAAAGTTTTCTTCTTTTCCTTTGGCCCGCTCTTTAAAAGTTTGCCCATCACTGTTCTAAGATAATAAAGATTTGACCAATGGACAAAAAAACACAACAATAATTGTTTTACATAAAAATAAAAATGTATAATATATGTATAATAAATGTATAATTTTTCATTTTTATTTTTATTTAAAAAATCGTTTTAAAGCTAAAGACTGAACTTTTTCATGAGTTTTGTTAGTTTCAAAATAAAATATTTAAAAATTATTATATTAATAAGTAATACAAAAGATGATAACTAATAAGTTTTTATTTTTTATACTCTAAATACAATATCTAAATTCAAAATTTAATCAAGCTATTTACTTCTAAAAATAACTTCAATTTATTAATTAATTTCTTACATATTAAATTTAACATTTTTATCTTTCTATAAACTTTAAACATGAAAAAAAAAGGTAATAACTTATATGAAAAAAATATTTATCATTGTTATCACATTTATTTTAATTTATTATAATAAAACTTAAATAATAATGTGATAAATACTAAAAATTTTAATATATGGTTAATATATATATATATATGTATATAAACTGTTTAATAGATACTGTTATTCAGTGGTGCCGTCATTGGAAGTGATGAAGCACCACTTCCTTGTATTTTCTAAAAAATAAATACATATTAATTTTAATTATATGAAAATAATCACATAATATTTTATTATAACCACATTATGTATCTTATTACAAATTTCTATACTACATGTGAAACAAAAAGAAAAGATTGCTATTGTATATTTGAATATTAATGGCAAAGTGGAAGTGCTGTATTGTCAGCTTCCAAACAGCCAGATTTGCACACGTGCTTTACAGAGCACCAACCTCACCCAGTTTAGCTGGTGGAAGCCTAGGACCTTGGGTGAATGCTACACATATAACGCTTCCAATTCTATCCAGGACCAGTTCTGGGCTGTTAGCCACCTGCCTGCTAGATATTTGGCCACCCTCACCCAATTATTGTGAATCATGAATAAATTTATAACTTAACCCAACCAATAAGAATTTACTGGTATGTTTTTATGATAGTTCTGTATACTTAACAGAAGTTTAAAAAATCCATTAAAATATTTGATATTTTTATTCCGCTCTCCAATTTTATATTAAACCAGTCATTTTCAATGTTAAACCAATGAAATTATTATTTCGTATATCCCATGTTTAATGAGATGTAAAAAAAAACGTCTTGTATAATGTATAAAAACATCTTGTATAATTCTTGTATAATGTTAAAAAATTAACTGTTACTTTGACAGCGTCATTTACAACTAAATTTAATGAATGAAAGAGATACACGAAGTACAGAAAAAGCTCTAGGATTTATTTTCCTTACATTTACAACATATGTATCCGTTGTCATAAAAATTTCTCTTTCCACTTTTTTCCCGAGACTACAAATATTCGAGTATAAAGTACAGGTTTCGACTTATTTCTACTTAAGAAGTAGTTAAATAATTAAGCGATTAGGGAATTGGGGACATAAACAAAACCCCGATGAAAGAGCCAAAATTTTACTTAAACAAAAGCTTAACCGAACCATCTCTAGCCAAGTATGGTGGAGACTGATTTCTTCGTATTATTAATGTAATAAAGACAGAAATTTTTCCAGTTCGAAGAGAGTGACTGAAAAATTGTAAATTTTGGAAATTTCCATGCACACCTGGTCCTAAAATGAATTAGTTAAAAAACAAATGACTATTAAGTTTAACATATTTAGATTTTTACAGCTATGATGAAAAATGTTTAAAATTTACAACAACCCTGTTGCATCCTTTGAGATATACTAGTGATGTGACAAAAGAGGCATTTGACATTAACCGATATCGGTACCTTCAAAATTTGGCAGCCCAAGTGCATGCACACCTAGCAGGACCGTCTCTGATTCCACTCGTAGGGAGCTATTTGACTAAGTGGTTAAGATTTAAAGAGTAAACAATATTTTATGTTATTTTTATGTACGTTTCTTTACAAAGCTATTGTGAGGCTCTGGACAGGTCTGAACCCTCACTAAAATTCGCACTAAAATAATTGTTTTAGAGAAAATAATATATTAGTTAGAAATAGATTTTTATGATATGAAAACGCGACGCTAGACAATAGAAAACTTTTAAACAATAGAAGAATGTAAGTCCGTCGACCATTTCCGGTTGGAGATCAAATTAAACTTTGATTTTGACCTCTCCCGCGCCCCCGAAAGGTTTCGAATTGTCATCAGGTGACGAGGAGAGACCAATCAAGAAGGGGAATCTGAGAGAAAACGGATAAAACCCCGGAAATTCGAGGACGCGACGGTTTCTTCTCCCGAAAGTTCCAAGTGATGGACCTGTTGTTGTGTGTGTGTCTCGCACCCATCTTTATCTCCATCTCCCGACCTCGGATCGACATCTTTCCATCAACGAAAGTCGACCGCATCGTCCCGGAGTCGTCGAGACATGATGGAATGGTTCATTCGCAAACAAGGGACACTCCTTCAAAATGGGACTATCGTGGAACCACAGGAGAGGAAGACCCAGAGGCCGCAACCGCCGCAGAACTTCCAAGATCACGGAAATCTTGTAAGCTTCTTTCGTGTTTAATAAACGGTTGTGTTGTTTGTAAACGAAGCATCTATCTCTGACTCAACTGCTTCCACATGTCGTTGATTGTTACCGCTCGGCAGTCCAAACGGCAAGGGAGACGATGACGATATATATCACATATTATCGTTCGTCGAGAGTTTTTTTTATTCCCCCCCTCGGCCCCACACTATATTAAATTATAATTTTCTTTAAAAGTATATTCATATAATTGAAGAATATTCTGTACCACATACGTAAATCCACCACACATTTTATTTCACCAAGTAAGTTTTTATAACTTTATTTCTAATTTTAGCCCTTATATCATGGCTAGCAATTCGGAATGTAATTGCGAAATTGAAAATTTATTTTAAAAAGTTTTGGCTCAAAATCATATAATGAAAAAGAAAACATTATTAAATGAGAAAGGCCAATGCCTACGTTAAATATAAACACTTCAATAAAAAAATTTGTTCGACATTTTCGCGATAAAATGTCTCTGTAAATGCATAAAAATGCCAAAATTGTTTTGTTGGCTTGCCTACTATTTTCAAATAAAATTAGTGTGTGGAATAAGAATGGCTTTGACAATTTAGCTGGCAAAAGACGCAAAAAATCGTCGATTCTTTCGTATTTGAAGCAATTTGGAAATCGAAGCAGAATAGAATTTAACATTAGTAAATAATATAAAATAAATAATGAAAATTATAACGAGATAGTTACAACTAATAGATATATTTAAATTAATAGATGTTATATGTTTTTATGAAAGCAAGAATCGGCATTTAGAGGGCATAGGAAATCTATTGAATCTAATAACAGAGGTAATTATATTGAGCATTATTAATAACTATAACTATTTATTAATTACGTCAGATAAATAATCTATTAAAAATACATTCAAAGAATTAACTGTTCGCTCCTGTAAGACGGCTTCTTACAGAAACACAGCTTCCCTATCATCAAATGTCACAGCATGCCACTGCTGTTATTTAATATTTGAATGTGTCTATAATGAATATACAGTAGAGTGTCATTTATCTAAAAGCTGATCAACCGAAATGTCAGTTAACCAAAAGTGTTCCAGTTGAACTGTGTCGTGCTGAATCGAACATTTTTGATACTAGATTAACTTCCAAAGTATAATTTTTTTTGTTTTTATATTTTTCAATATATTTATTTTGTTTGTACAAAATAAAAAAATAATTTTTAACGATACAATAACCACAATTATTATTATAAAAATTTTCATCAGACTTAACATTGATGGAAATTTAATGTGAAGTGACACGCAACAGAGAAAAATTTCAACATGGGATAGGTTAATACAATCACTATCGTTTATTAGATACTATATTTAGTACATTCCCGGTACCGCATAGCATTGCCGGGAAATAGGTTAATACAGTAGACCCCTCTATAACACTGTTGATAATTCCATATTATATGAATTCCATGTTATACGAGTCACTTAGATTTTACAAATATGTGTGCCAGGCTGTGAACGACTCACATATTTGTAAAATCTAAGCGACTTGTACAACATGGAATTCATATAATATGGAATTATCAACAGTGTTATAGGGGTCTACTGTATATTTTTTCATACATTATCAGTTATCCAAACAACCCTAGTCCCCAATTGATTCAGATAAACGATGCTCTACTATAATTACTTACTCATAAATAAATACTTACGATTTTGAAACAACTCTCTTATGTAATACAACAAGAGAATGTCTAATGCAATGTATTATAGAATCTGTAATCTTTGTACCAAAAAAATGTCTTAATTCATCATATTCTTCATGCAAGGAGAAAAAGGAATCTTCTTGTGCATCTATTTCATCTGTAAAAATTTTTAAGATAAGGTTTATCTTAATTATATATTTAGAAATTAAATAAGTAAAAATATTAAAGAACTTTTCAATTAACAGAAATTATAAAATTACAGTTTTTACTCTTAAAATTATTTCAAAAATACCTGTATCATCACCAATAAAATAGGTTTTTCGTAAATTTGCAATATAAATTTCCTTTTTTGTAGAGATCTCTCTACACTTAGTTCCTTCTGTCATAAATATTCCAATTAAATCTTGAATTGAATTATGGATTGCTTGAATTTTAAAATTCAATTCTAAAATACATTTATCACAACATTTCTGAAAATAAAATGATTAGGAAAATTATTAAATTTCATATTATAAACTAAAATATTATTAAAATTTAGCTATCATTCTGAAAGATCTTATTTCAGAAACTACACATTGTTCATTGTTTAGTTGTAACATTTTAAACTGCTAATATCTTATGTTTCAATTAAATGTAATAGAAAATTATTTAATAAAAATAATTTTTTTTTATTAAAGTTAGTATATTATTTATATTCTGCAAATTTTTCAAACTATACTTTATAGAAGGGATAAATATGAGGTCCTGAGCTGGGACAAAAAACATTCTTTAAACCAAAAATCAAAATAAAAACGAACCTTGATCTTCACGATTAATTAAAATTAAGAAAATNCTTTGACAATTTAGCTGGCAAAAGACGCAAAAAATCGTCGATTCTTTCGTATTTGAAGCAATTTGGAAATCGAAGCAGAATAGAATTTAACATTAGTAAATAATATAAAATAAATAATGAAAATTATAACGAGATAGTTACAACTAATAGATATATTTAAATTAATAGATGTTATATGTTTTTATGAAAGCAAGAATCGGCATTTAGAGGGCATAGGAAATCTATTGAATCTAATAACAGAGGTAATTATATTGAGCATTATTAATAACTATAACTATTTATTAATTACGTCAGATAAATAATCTATTAAAAATACATTCAAAGAATTAACTGTTCGCTCCTGTAAGACGGCTTCTTACAGAAACACAGCTTCCCTATCATCAAATGTCACAGCATGCCACTGCTGTTATTTAATATTTGAATGTGTCTATAATGAATATACAGTAGAGTGTCATTTATCTAAAAGCTGATCAACCGAAATGTCAGTTAACCAAAAGTGTTCCAGTTGAACTGTGTCGTGCTGAATCGAACATTTTTGATACTAGATTAACTTCCAAAGTATAATTTTTTTTGTTTTTATATTTTTCAATATATTTATTTTGTTTGTACAAAATAAAAAAATAATTTTTAACGATACAATAACCACAATTATTATTATAAAAATTTTCATCAGACTTAACATTGATGGAAATTTAATGTGAAGTGACACGCAACAGAGAAAAATTTCAACATGGGATAGGTTAATACAATCACTATCGTTTATTAGATACTATATTTAGTACATTCCCGGTACCGCATAGCATTGCCGGGAAATAGGTTAATACAGTAGACCCCTCTATAACACTGTTGATAATTCCATATTATATGAATTCCATGTTATACGAGTCACTTAGATTTTACAAATATGTGTGCCAGGCTGTGAACGACTCACATATTTGTAAAATCTAAGCGACTTGTACAACATGGAATTCATATAATATGGAATTATCAACAGTGTTATAGGGGTCTACTGTATATTTTTTCATACATTATCAGTTATCCAAACAACCCTAGTCCCCAATTGATTCAGATAAACGATGCTCTACTATAATTACTTACTCATAAATAAATACTTACGATTTTGAAACAACTCTCTTATGTAATACAACAAGAGAATGTCTAATGCAATGTATTATAGAATCTGTAATCTTTGTACCAAAAAAATGTCTTAATTCATCATATTCTTCATGCAAGGAGAAAAAGGAATCTTCTTGTGCATCTATTTCATCTGTAAAAATTTTTAAGATAAGGTTTATCTTAATTATATATTTAGAAATTAAATAAGTAAAAATATTAAAGAACTTTTCAATTAACAGAAATTATAAAATTACAGTTTTTACTCTTAAAATTATTTCAAAAATACCTGTATCATCACCAATAAAATAGGTTTTTCGTAAATTTGCAATATAAATTTCCTTTTTTGTAGAGATCTCTCTACACTTAGTTCCTTCTGTCATAAATATTCCAATTAAATCTTGAATTGAATTATGGATTGCTTGAATTTTAAAATTCAATTCTAAAATACATTTATCACAACATTTCTGAAAATAAAATGATTAGGAAAATTATTAAATTTCATATTATAAACTAAAATATTATTAAAATTTAGCTATCATTCTGAAAGATCTTATTTCAGAAACTACACATTGTTCATTGTTTAGTTGTAACATTTTAAACTGCTAATATCTTATGTTTCAATTAAATGTAATAGAAAATTATTTAATAAAAATAATTTTTTTTTATTAAAGTTAGTATATTATTTATATTCTGCAAATTTTTCAAACTATACTTTATAGAAGGGATAAATATGAGGTCCTGAGCTGGGACAAAAAACATTCTTTAAACCAAAAATCAAAATAAAAACGAACCTTGATCTTCACGATTAATTAAAATTAAGAAAATTAAATTATAATAGAAAAGGGAAAAAAACAAAATTATTTTAATACTAGCTGCAAGAATTCGCTGCAAGGATACTACTAGCTTCGCTGGGTTTTTATTTGTTCGTACATTTGTATGTAATATAGTTTTTTTTTATATATAAAAGACTGTTTTTCTAAGTAACCTAGAATCTAGCTGCAAAGACCCGCTTCACTGAGTTTTTATTTGTGGGCAAAAAGTAACGATAGTGAAGATTAAAATAATTACATTATAGCCAATCTTACCCGTTTTCACAAAATGCAAGAATTAGGTCCCCCATTTCCAGACTAATTACAGAATTTTTACGTCCAGTCAAACAAACTATTTTCAATTTGATCAATTTTCTGGAATGTTTACAATCGTTCTATAACCAAACCAATTCGAATACAAATTCAAATTCGAAAATTTTTAAAATCGAAATAGAAAATCTTCCATTTTCAACCACTTTCAAGCCCATATCTCCCACACCCTTATAGCTATCGAGACACAACCACCATAGCACACAAATGGAGACTTGGGGCTACTACCACATACAAACACCATTCATGTGCAAATGTGTAGTTTTGGCTGAAAAGTGAAATATAGGGACACACACGTCCATTTTTATATACATATGTTACTGTGAATGACCGATATCTGGCAAATGTCAACATTCTCTGGTGAATGTCAGCATTCACACAGTCGTTTCGTGTATGTACGAAATATTTGCTAAATATCCTTATTTCTCACTTACACCAGCAAATGTCGACATTCAGCATGCACCGATGGTGAATGTTGAATAAAAATATTTTTATTACGTTAAGTCAAAAATGCAACTTTTTAATATGTCAAAATAGGAAAAAGCTTAGGTAATAGCACATGTAAATAAACTATTGAACCTAAAACGTACAGTACATTCTTAATCAGAAAAGAAATTAATTCAATAATAAACTTACACATAAATTATGTGATTAACGTTATACAATCTTATTTATTGCAACAACTTAAATTGCTATGGCACTTTGAATTGCACAAGAGTCCCTTGCTTTTACAACTACATTTATTCGTGGAACACTTCTTTTTGCAATGACAGCGTGTATAGCCTTGTCCTCCACTTTTCAAATTAGCTGCAGCTGCTTCTCTCAACAATATTTCTTGAGAAGAAATCTCATCTATGGAAAGTAACTTTTCTTTACAAATTACGAACTGATCTGTTAATGGTGTCTTTTATTCGGATATCGCCGACGTCTTACCGACAACCCCTCTCATCCTCCGCCACTCGACCAGACAAACCCATCCCCATCTCACGGGATCAAAAGAACAAAAACACTATCCAGTGACAAAGTGAGCAGTTTCTACCAAACCGTTGCTGGGAAAAGAGGTGTGACCTTGTCCTACCTCTGGCTACCCACAAAGGATTTGGTGACAGACCTCTCTGTTGACATTGGTTTCGACCTTCACCAAAGCTTATCTGTGCTTGTCTACATACACCAGCGATTGTTCGAATGTATAATAATATAACCAAATATTCAGTCTTTCACCGACGTATTTTGTTTTGTCATTCACCGGAGAATATCAACATTCTCTAATTTTGGTCTTTCACAGTAACATATATATATATAGATTAAAACCACGCAAAAAAAAAAAAATTAGTAAATTAAATTTTTTATAAGACAAGATGAACAAAAAAGGAAATGTTAGTTAAGTTACTGTGACTACATACCATATTTCCAATGTATATTTTTGTATAAATGTATATTACTTTAAAATTGTTTGTTCCCTGTCCCCCTTTCTGTCTTTTCTATTGTCTTATCTTTCTGGAATGTTCTTGTTTAACCCTCCTTCTTGGTATGTGGACAACTAATCTCTGAGAACAATAGATGGAATGCAACCCTGAGAGCAAGAAGCGTAGCACATGGCTCATTCTGGAGAGGAACCCAGAGAGGTAAGACAGCAAAATCGGTCTCCCCAGTGCATTTTGGCCTTGCATGGTAGAGACAAGGACTTTGGGAAGAGAGAGAAAAATTGATTGTGAGGAATAAAAAACAGTAAGCCCTTTGAACTGATTATAAAATAGTGAGAGAATTGAGCCTATTCATTATCCCAGGAAGAAATCTTGTCCCAACATACCAACGACAAGTAGAAAATTGAAACAGATTTTGGGTACCCTCTTTCCTATTCCCTGTTCTTACTCTTCAGTTTTTCTAATTAATTATCTTATTTTTATTAGTTATAAGCAGTCGTAAGCACCTAGTTGTAAGTTATGTATAATTCTGAGCAATTAGACAATTGATTCAGGTAGAGATTGCCATATAAATTTTTTTGTCAAGGATTGATCTTGTGTCATTTTTTGTATGAGTACTATTGTGTGTTATTTAGTGGGAGAGGTATTAGTTGGCATCCAAAAGGAATACTGTATTGTAATGATCGAGTAATAAATTTCTTTGTTATTTTATTCCTTTGTCTACATTTCACTCTATCATTTCACATTACAATACAAGGTTCATTCAACACCGAACGAAAGATGGTGTCAAATTGTATTCATAAACAGTCATCTTTCTCGGAAACCGATCTGGTTCAATTTCACCTGGTAACATAGAAAGACCAATCTGCAACAGAGAAAGGGGATTAATAACCAATAAAATGACAATTTGCAAGACGAAAAGATATTTCAGCACGTGCCACAAGGACAGTTGGTTCTTTGCCATGGCATCTCACAAGGCTATGTCCCTTGTTCGGGTGCTTTCCGCAAGGTTCCATCTTCGTCCTTTGCCGATGTATCCTCCAAAAATATTAGACCTTCATTGAGAGAAACTTCATACATTCCAATCTGCATTCATCGGACATCGTTTCCTGTTCAACAACTGAACTTAGAATGCAACATCTGGTCAGCGAATGAAAATCAGCTTCTTCGCAGGACTTTCTTCTTCTTCTTTACAGACTATGCGCCAAAGTACACAAGGACTTAAACCCTTCAAATCTATGAACTTTTTGTAAGGTAAATTGTCTAATAAATGGGTTGTGTTGTTTGTAAACGAGGCAGCGATCTCTGACTCAACCACTCCCACATGACGTTGACTGTTACCACTCAGCAGTCCAGACAGCAATGGAGATGATAATGATATCACATATAATCATTATTTTTTTGTTTTGAAATCTCTCCCTTGGCCCCCTTACATACAAAATTACTGCTAAAATTTTTAGCAATCAAATGCATTTATTAAATTAAGACATTTTTTAGATCTTATAGTTGAGCCAGAAAACTGAACATCTATAAAATCAAAAATTATTATAAATTGAGTAATTTTAAACTATTCTATATAAATATATATTTATATTAAAAATGAAATAAAAATTAAAAAATAAAATTCAATCAAAAAATTCCTGTATGTTCATGTTTATTATTTTCAGTACTTACCTTGCTCTTAAAAGGATTTTCAGCATTGTTTTAATTAATATTTTTACTTTTGCATTATTTTTTAGGCCTAATGCTAATGAATGCTTAATAAATGACAGTATAAATATAACATTTTTTTTAAAGCTTTTATATGCACTAACAAGTGAAAAAAGCTGTAATGTACTTTAAGATAATATTTATTTTACAGCTGTGGTCTGGACTCTAGTTTTTTGTATTAGCAAAATGTGACTGTATACCATTCATAAAGGAATAACATAATTTATAATCAAATAAATACCTTAGTTCTATCAATAAATTCATATAACGACAACACTTCATCTTCAGGAAAATCGATTAATGAAGTATTACAGATATCTTCTAACAGAACATCAATTCTTGCTTTCATAATATCCAGGATCTTTAAAAACATTAAATTTAATATTAGAGGAAAAAAATACAGTATAAAAATTGAAATAATTTTTATGTATCAGATTAAAAACATCAGCACAGTCATCAATATCTAAGTCAAATTAAATCAACTATATAACAATAAATAAAGAATATACAATGGTTGTGGCTGTACGCCATATTAGTGTACAGGTAACCCCCGTATAACACGGCACTTCTATAGCACGGATTCATTCTAACACAATTTGAAAATTGGTACCATCCCCCATATAGACTAACAGCACAAAACCTTTCTCACTAATTTCTAGCCTTATTAACTGGAGTACAAACGTTTTCGGCCTTCTTAATAGGCCTTCCTCGGGTACACTGTGGAGCGTCGGTTAGAAGAAGTTTAAATGCTGCCAATGTTTACCCAGGTGTCGTCTTACCCGTGATGTCTTCGTCGATGATAGGTATACGACACCAGGGAGAAAAACTACATACTTTTGGTAAAGAAGGGAGGTGTGCAGATAGGATACTTGCTAAAGTTGGGGAAAAAAGATTTAGAGTAAGCGCGCTACGTACAGGAGATGCACAATCACCACAGGGGGAGTGACGTCATAGTTGAGGCCGTAAATATTCAACGCTACCGTAAGAAGAGGCGTGCGAACGACCGTGGATGGTAAGGGGGTGTTACGATTAGAAGGGGATGGGAAGGGGGGGTTACGCTTATAAGGTAGAATTGGAAATAAACGCGACAAGTAAAAAGCGCTAACGGTTGCACGCGTTGAGGGTGGGATGGTCTATTTATTTCAAGGGGTTGTCGAAGAATGATTTCCAAGCGGAGGAGAGCGAGTCCGCATCTCTGCTGTTGATACAACCGTCTTTGAGGGATTGCTTAAATATTTCGATTGTTTCGACTGTTCTAAGCTTGGTGTGGTCGTGCATAGGAATAGTAATCCTCGCCTCTTCCCATTTGGTCGTTATACCAGGTTCGCTTGCAAACTGGGCAAGGGTGGAAGTGAATTTTTTGTTGTATGCGTCGTACTTGTGCTCAGTTATCCTCCTTCTAAGCGATCTATTGGTTGAGCCAATGTATGTTAGCTTCTTGCACGGGTTAGATCTGCCGTCCTCCAAAGGGACGGTGTAGACTCCTGGTCTCCTGGCTTCGCTGCATTTGTCCTTGGTGTTAGCTAGAAGTTTATAAATCGTAGGGTTGCGTCTGTATGCGAGAGTAGCGTTGACCTTTTTTGCTATGAAGTTATAGGCCTGGCTCATTCTAGGGTCAAAATCGACGGTAATGCGCTTACCTTGTTGCTTTAGAGGTTTAGAAGTGGCATCTCCGGTTGTTAAGCATCTATGAGTTTTTTGCGCAAGCCTATCGATAAACTTACTGCTGAAACCGTGGGCTGTGGCGATGCGCTTGATGCGTTGGATTTCTCGTAGCGCGTCATTAATGCTAGAGCAATGATTAAAAGTATCTGCTAAGAGACAAAAGTGGCCTGCTCTACCCTGGGCCTCATACAAGCTCTCAACAATCCAGTTGTATGAGTCTTGTTAATGGTCCTAAACATAATAATATGTTCAGGACGATTCCAAGTAAAAATGGATATTAATGTAAATTTTTATAAGTTAAAATTGCAAAACCTGTTTCACATGGGATAATAAATTGCTAGCTCAAATATTCAAAATTAATTGAATTTTGCAGTCACACATCCAAGTGGTCGACTGCCCTCCCCATGCCATAGACATGATGTTAGCTAAGTGTCAGATTGTAAGTTGCAGAAATAATTCATAAATTCAGCAAAATCAATAAGGTTAACAGCTGCTGTAAAACACCAATAGTGAATAGTAAGACATAGTTTCAAAGCAAAGTAAGATAAAAAATGGGCATTTCTTGTTTCATGATTTACCTAAATTTAGCATTTCTTTTTACCAACATAAGAAATTACATGAGGTATTCAAAATATAACACATAATAATGTTGTCCCACACAGATATTCATATAATTGTTCACCATGTGGTTTGTCTTGCACATGCAAGCAAGAAAAACTCACAAAACAAGTGACTTTCCATGTTTGTAGCAATTGTGACACGTACTTATATGCCCCCTTTTATGCTATATTATCCATGGACTTTATCAAGAGAAGGTGGAAGGGAAATCTACAGCAAAAAATACGCACGTACAATATATAAGCAGATGACAGAAGAAAAAAGAGCAGAGATTAAACAAAAACAAAAACAAATGAGAAAGAAAACATTGACAGAATAACAGAATATGGATCCCAAAACAAATATATATATATAAAACAAAGAAGAGTGCAGAAGAATTTTAACAATCAAAGAGTGCCATGCCAGCAGACCATATGGACCATATGAGTAACATGCCAAGTCTTAAACAATTCTACAGGTCATTAGTCCTTAGAAAGGCTACCAATAGGTTAGACCTGTCATAATGAACTTTGCCAGAACTTCTCCAATTCACCAGTCACATAAGCTTCACTTTTCATAGCAACACAACATTGCACATAGTACAACAAGGATTACCTTGGAGAAGCAGCTACAGATTTATCCAGATTTTTCCTTATTCAGATGAGGAAACTGAAAACCACAACATGGATGTAGACAATATTGATAATGATCCTGTGACAGATAATAGTAAAAGCACTGTCAATGTCAAGATCTAAGTAGAAAATTATGTCAAAATTGTGTTTCAAAGCAAGTACTACTCAGGAATAATAACAGAAAAGTTATGAAATAGTTCAAGTAAACTGTTTTAATCTAAGTAAAATGGGTTTAGAGTGAAACATAACACAAGCGAAAAAATGAAGCCTGGTATCAAGGAAATGAAATTGTCAAGGTACTGGTGGACTAAAACCATTGAACAAGAGAGCCATATTCATGTCTTCCAACTTTTATACAAACTCTGCTTATTAACACTCTGCTTTTCATTCACTGCAAATATATGCAGTGAATGAAAATGTTTTGTGTGTTACTAATATGTTTCATGCATTACTGCATTTTTCTTTCACCATGTGTTAAACAAAAGTCAGACAGTGAGTGTCTGTTAAAATTATATAAACTTACCTTCACATACCGTAAATATGTAATACAACTTTTCATTTAATTAGACTGATTCACTTCACATGCATTATGCAATAAACTTTCTTTACCAACAACCTTATCCCTTTTCATTTCATGCATTACAGCTGTCTAAAGACACAACAATACTCACACAAAATATTATTTCTGTTTATTTTTCATCAAGATACCCATGTTTTTCATTGTATTTTTCATAATTTAGCATCACTAACGTACTTTTATCATATTACTGTACATTATAGTGCTTCTATTATTATATATGCCAAAATTAGTTACGTGTAAATGTTGAAAAATTTTATCAAATGTTTCGTGCATTACCATAAAATTGTTCTTCACCTTGTGACATTGAAGCATGAAAATTACCAATTATAAATTTTAAATGCTTACTATTGTATTATCCAATATTTTACTTAAAATAAACTGTTAAATATATCACTTATTTACAGATGGAGACTAGAATACCTTACAAGTAAGTATAAATCATACACTACTACTTTGATCTGTTTCAAAGTCACACTGAACCAAAAAGTGATGGGCTCGATAGAGACGCCACCCCATGGCTGTTTATTCATTAGAAAAATAAAAAATATAAACAAAGGACATATAACACAAATCATTACTACAGATATAAGTAATGACAGGAGAGAAATTTAACATAAGCATAATTTAAAATTTCAAACTGTGGTACTATCCTCTAAATTTCTTCTGATTTTATCCAAATTTTAAAATTTTTTTTCTTCAATACAGAAACAAGTTAGACAGATGCCCCTATGCAAACAACTTTTATTTTTAACCATTATAATAAGAACTACTGTAACCAGTAGTAATGTTCTTAGAAAAAGAAAACATTATTTGTAAGTATTATTTTATATATTTATTGGGTTGTTTGGAAAGTAATTTCGTTTTTTTTCCGTGGAAAAAAACACAATATTTTTATAATAAATAAATATTTTATTGAATTATATATCGACCATTTTGGTCAAATACCTGTTGTCATCGTTTCTGGTAGTAGCATGATTTCACATTCATAAAAGTTTTGATCGTTGCTTACAAAAAACTGATCCAAGTGATTTTTGACATTGTCATTTCAAGTAAATGTCTTACAGTTAAAAAAAATTTGTATAGACCGGAACAAGTAATAATCTGAGTGTGCTCGATCTGGCGAATATGGTTGGTGTGATAGCACATCCCATCTAAGTTATAACAGTTTCTGACCAGTTACCAAACTTGTGTGAAATTTGACAATATCATGGTAAAACACTACACCTGTTTTGTTGATCAATTCTGGCCACCTTTTCTGTTTGATGATATTACTCAATTTGTTTACTCAATGGCAGTACACTTTCGAATCAATTGTTAAATTGTCTGGTAAAAGCTCCAAAAAATAAATTTCCTTAAAATCCCACCAAAGAGAGCATCATTCTTTAAGAACACGTAGAACCCATATATCAAGCTTTGAAATGAAACCAATTTGTTTCAAGTAATCATAAACAGTTCAATTTAACAAATTTAATCTCTTAGTGATTTCACGTGTTGTTATTCGGCAGTTTGCTTCAATTGGTACTTTTATTTTGTTTTAATTGGCTTCAACTGGACATTCAGAACGTGGTGCATCTTCAATATTGAAATTGACAGAATGAAATTTTGTAAACCAGTTTTGGCACTGTCTTTCTCTCAACACATCTTCTCCATACACGTCACACAATTTTTTCTCACTTGAACGACATTCTTACCTTTTCGGTAATAAAAGAGCAAAATATGCTGAAAATGCTGCTTTCGATCTTCCATATTTGATGGGACGCAAAAAATAAACAATTGCACAAAATCAAACAAAATTTTTTACAAATAAGTCTTAAAATGCTAGCTGTCAAAATATATAATGATAATACAGTTTAGAATGAAAATGGCAAAAAAAATACGACTAATCCGTCTAGTGGTAAGAAAAATGAAATTACTTTCCAAACAACTCAATATATGATATATAAGATAAATGTTTTTGATTAGTTTTAATTTTTACTTTAATAATAAGCGTTAATTCTAGAAGATATTATTATAAAAATGAAAAGTGTGTTAGATAAATATAAGCATACATCAATTTAAATTTAATACCTCTTTAAGAATATTTCTAACATAAGATAATTCTTCTTTGACATCAGAAAAAAATGAATTTAGCAATAAAGATGACCAAGTTAACACTGTTGTACCAGGCTTTAAGGAGTTTATTATCTGAAATATAAATTAAGATCAATTACAGAGACTATATGAAGAAATTTATTTTAATTAAAAAATTGTTACCCTTTGTAATAAAGGTTCCATCAGTACTTTTAAAACCTGAGGTACACTATTTTTCAAATCAGAATAATCTTCAAGAATAAACTATTAAATATTAAACAGTTGTTAACATAATAACTATTTAAATATTTCTTTCTATAGCTAACTATCAAGCCAATATACAATTTAAGAAAACAAAATATTTATTTACTTATTTACAAGAGTTATGCAGGTAATGCAGATTAAGCAAAATGACCCTCCCCAATAACAGAGTTGTCTCAAAACAAAAACAGAAGTAAAAATCAAAGTATAAATACAACAGTATAGAAAAACAAATTATACATATAGAGCTTTCTTACAATATTTTTTTTACGTTTACAATAGTCAAGATATGATAGGTGGTAGGTCCTCTGCATTTTTTGACACAGTTGATAAATCTTTAAAAGAAGATTCTCTGAGATATTGTCTAAAAAAGCAGACAACGGCTCTTGTTCAACTCACCCAGCACTTAAACAAGAGGCTAAAAGAACCATAAAGAAAGAAAGTCCAATAATTTTTAATTTTACTAAGATATAAAAATAAATTTTTATATCTTAGTAAAATTTTTATATATTTTAAAAAAATTAATAAAATGCTTAAGATGAGTAATTTTGTTTAATTATGAGAAATTTCTCCATTTAAAAAAATATTTAAGTTTAAAACACTAAGACATTAGCACAACATTAAAATTGTGTATGTCTCCATTTGTTGAGATTTTATTTTAAAATAATTTTTATAGCATTAAATATTACAAAAAGGCAAAATACAATAATTTTGAGAATAGAGATGGCTTTTTAAGAAATTGTAAATGCCAATAACAAGTAAATTTTACATTAAATCCAAGTCCATTTGAGATATGACACAAAACTCACTCTCTATCTCACCCATCACCTTGATCTTTAACTACCAAAATTTAATAGCATGAATGCCCTATATATAGAAATTATCTTGCCAAGTTTCAAAATGTTTGGTTTATCCAATCCTGAGATATAATGAAAAACTGATGCATGCATGCATACATGCACAAAGGTTTATAAGGGTTTTTTTACTTTATTGGGCTCCAAGCATATCAAGATATCGAAAAATGCAAAAAACTGAATAGAGTCATATCTAATCACCATATATTATATTATGTTCTCTGTTATATTCTGTAACAGCAGGAAATGTAAAAATGAAGAATAAAAACAAGAGGAGCTATGAGAATTAAAATTTGGTATATGTATATTGAAAAAAAAAGAAATATAAGATCATTAAAAAATTTTTAAGTACTCTGTTCAAATATATAACTCTGTCCTGTAAATGCAAAAGACCTAAATAAAAACATATGATTTTATCAGGAGATTTGAAAAACCAATGCATTTTCTTATATTCTGTAACAGCAGGAAATGTAAAAATGAAGAATAAAAACAAGAGGAGCTATGAGAATTAAAATTTGGTATATGTATATTGAAAAAAAAAGAAATATAAGATCATTAAAAAATTTTTAAGTACTCTGTTCAAATATATAACTCTGTCCTGTAAATGCAAAAGACCTAAATAAAAACATATGATTTTATCAGGAGATTTGAAAAACCAATGCATTTTCTAATATTTTAAATGTTTTTGTAAACACTTCTTAATGTTTACATTAAATTTATTTCAATTATAATTGAATTTAAATTTTTACTCTATATTTTCTATCCTTCAATAATTAATATTAAAAAACATCCCACTCCATCTGAAACATAATATATTGTATAACCAAAACCTAAAACTATAAAGCCAAAATTTTAATAGAACTTTTCTTATTTGAAAAATTACAACTTGAAAACTATACCCAAACAAGCATGGTCATCTTTCAACTGTCACACAAAACATTTTCAAATTAGTAAAATAAAAGATATATATTATGAAAAATAATATAAATAATTGAAACTTTTAACATTCTAATATTATACAGGTGAACAAATTTTGAATTTTTAAACATAAAACCAGTGATAATTTTTTAAGGAATTATATATTTTAAATAAAAATTTATAATTCTTTAAAAATTAAATTGGAAAGGAAAAATCATAAAATATCTTAAAATACAGATTTTCAAAAAAGGCAGACCTTCATACTCCTAGCTTGTCTTTTAGGCATATTGATTTGCACTTGAATCGAGATTTGACAAATCTGGAAGCAGTGGGTCTCAGAAAATAGTCATAACTGATATATTGGCTTCAAAGAAATAACCAAGAGGATTGAAAAATCTGTTGACAAACCAGAATAACGTCAACATTGTCACTTACAGCTATCTGGAGAAATGCACCTGATTCTGCACAGCACCCTATATTATGTATTGGTTGATACTTATGTGACATTGGATTTTACTCATTCTGCTCTTTACAATATCTACCTTTGTCAGATCACTACCACACTGTCTAAATGCAATAGTGTCAAACCTGAGAGGAAGGACAACAGAATAGTCATTTTTAGCAATGCACTTCATTTCTTCACAGGACAATATGATCATAGATTCATGTTTGACATCATCATGGCCAGCAGCATAATCCAGTATTTGTATGCTACTACCACACAGTGAAAACAAATAGTATAATTGTATAGGATGCAATTTCCTATAACAGTAGCTCTTCTTTCATCTTCATTACCAATAGCTTGCAGGGCTGATTTAACTCTTAAGCAAATCTAGGTGATTACCTAGGGTTGCCAACCATATTCATAAAAAAATAGACTGTTAGATTTTTTTGAATTTTTAATTTTGGCAAATACTAATTAATNAAAAGATATATATTATGAAAAATAATATAAATAATTGAAACTTTTAACATTCTAATATTATACAGGTGAACAAATTTTGAATTTTTAAACATAAAACCAGTGATAATTTTTTAAGGAATTATATATTTTAAATAAAAATTTATAATTCTTTAAAAATTAAATTGGAAAGGAAAAATCATAAAATATCTTAAAATACAGATTTTCAAAAAAGGCAGACCTTCATACTCCTAGCTTGTCTTTTAGGCATATTGATTTGCACTTGAATCGAGATTTGACAAATCTGGAAGCAGTGGGTCTCAGAAAATAGTCATAACTGATATATTGGCTTCAAAGAAATAACCAAGAGGATTGAAAAATCTGTTGACAAACCAGAATAACGTCAACATTGTCACTTACAGCTATCTGGAGAAATGCACCTGATTCTGCACAGCACCCTATATTATGTATTGGTTGATACTTATGTGACATTGGATTTTACTCATTCTGCTCTTTACAATATCTACCTTTGTCAGATCACTACCACACTGTCTAAATGCAATAGTGTCAAACCTGAGAGGAAGGACAACAGAATAGTCATTTTTAGCAATGCACTTCATTTCTTCACAGGACAATATGATCATAGATTCATGTTTGACATCATCATGGCCAGCAGCATAATCCAGTATTTGTATGCTACTACCACACAGTGAAAACAAATAGTATAATTGTATAGGATGCAATTTCCTATAACAGTAGCTCTTCTTTCATCTTCATTACCAATAGCTTGCAGGGCTGATTTAACTCTTAAGCAAATCTAGGTGATTACCTAGGGTTGCCAACCATATTCATAAAAAAATAGACTGTTAGATTTTTTTGAATTTTTAATTTTGGCAAATACTAATTAATTTAATATTAAATAAATATTAGAAATAAATATATTCAGTATTTAATTTAATTTAAGTATTCTTAGAAATGAGAATAAAAAAAAAACTAAAATTTAAGGTCGATTTTTTCATTTTTCAATTATTGATACTACAATTGCACCTGTTGATGAAAAATTCAAGCACAGGTTTACAATTAATGAAAAGTTTAGTTTTTCTTTTAAATATATATTAATTTTAAAAATTACTTTGACAGAACTGCTTAAAAAATATTTAGAATTTTCGTGTTTTAAGTAACTTTGCAATGTCAGATATATTGACAACAGATTTATTTAGTGGATTAAAAATAAAAGCAAGGCAAATTCCAAAAAATACTTCATTCTAGAATCCAGAAAATACATAATACATATGCAAAAACAATTCAGACAATAGCATTCATTGCTCAAAATTTTTTCAACATTGCCAGTATCAGTAGCAAGTTTAGTAAGGAGTTTTTCAAAATTAAAACTTATAAAAACAACACTCACTCTATCTCTACAATAGATAAGGAACAACTTGCTAGTCTAGCAATAATATCTGTAGAATTGTATCTATACTCAATATAAATGAATTAATTCAAAACTTTGCCGAAGCCAAACAGTTGAAAAATTCCTTTTTCATAATTTTTTTATTTAAGATATAATAATTTTCTTCCTATACAGATATTAGGAGTAATCATATACTGTATATACACATAAATGTATTTATGTTAATTAATTAAAATGTTTCTAAATGTCCATAATATTGAATAATATCTTTATAAATATCTCCATGTTTGGGTGTATATGAGCCGTTTATTTTGAAAATGGGGCAAGTCCAATTTTTGTTATTGCGAGATATTTAAAGGTTTGCATTTCAATATATTTAAAAATATTGGTAAGTATTAATAGATATATTTTTAATATTTTGTGGTACCAGATAATGTAAGTTTATAATTCAATAGTGTTTACAGTGCTGACTAAAAAAAGTAAGAGTTTCATTATAACTAAATGGACTTGCCTCACTTTCAAAATTAATGAATTATTGTAATCGTTCATTTAATTGGGAATTTTTTCAGTTGCATCAGCCTTTTTTTAATAATAAAAACAAAATACTATTCAAATTTTTATAAATATTTATTCATTTGATAAAAAGTGAAACAAAACAAAGAATATTCTAGTAGAAAATATAACATAACAAAAAAAATTCAGTTTTATTAAGAATTTCAATCAAATTATACATTTTCAGTTTATACGTAGGTATAACTAAATGAATTTTATTCAGGATTTAACATTTTAAAATATTCATGATGAACGGGAAGTATATATGGTAATAAATCCATCGTGTCCTTGTATTTTTCAGATGTAATAGATCTCCTTTTTTCATACAGAAACGATAACTTTATATTTCCGAAATTACTTGGTCTTCCTCGTTGTGGTGACAAATCGATAATTTTAAATTCAGCATCTCGTTCTATCGAAGTTTTGTAGAACATTTTGTATGGTGCATCCCTTGTAAATCTGATCCAGCATATATTTAACCAATTCACGGTTTCTCCATCGGTATTTTTGTTTCTTTTTAAAACTGCTTTCCCCAGAGGTTGGGTTGAAAAAAAATTTTTGCGTTTCATTTCATGTACTAAAAATTTATTACGTTTTCGACAATTTCGTATTAGTTTATAGTAATCCTGGGGAATATACAAGGAACTGGTTTTCCGGATTGCCATTTCTACCACTCCAAAATCACGATCGTTCGGTAAAAATGAGTGTTCTGAAAATAAAAATTTGTGATCAATAATATTTATTTCATTGTCACTGGCCTGAACAATTTTCATCCACATTAAGGCCAACTTTATGTTTCCATTTTGGCCAGTGCACATGTAAGCTATAATATGTTTTTGGATTGTCACAGTCTGTGCTTCAAACAGCAAGATGCTACTTCTTGTGCTCTTCGGGATAGCAAGATGCTACTTCTTGCGTTCTTATAGTTTCATCCCAAACATACTGTATTATAAACGACTCAACTGACCAGATAATATGGTACGAATCTCTCTTTAATAATACAACTAAACACTTCTACATCCAGCTGGTTACCCCGAGCTCTCTCGCTCGCTTTCTGTCCCGCCACCTCGGCACCTCTCGATTACATTTCCTTTGTTTTAAATTGTCAACATATATTATATTACATTTAATGTTTATCTAAATCATCAACATATATTACACATACATACTAACTTCATCATTATGAAAATTGTGGAAGCCCTGATTCAATACATACATATTCCGCTTATATTTCTTGGTGTTGGAAGTAAACCTATTATTATCAAAACACAAAATTAAGATATACTTTTTGTTATTTATGAAATATTGTACAACCACCGACTTTCAATATCAAAGATAGATAGATAGAAACACCCTAGATTTCAGACATGATGACAAACGGCCACATTGCTTCACCATACAGCAACTGGAGCTAAATTTTGCCGTAATATATGCGGTCAGAAATAACTTCAATCTAAGATGGACTTGCACCACTTTCAAAATAAACATATTTTCAATACTGTTAAGAGCTAAAACTTCCATCTCCCAAATATTAGAATCTGAATTTTTTTTTACTATAAATTGTTTACACATAAAAAGATCATAACAAGTTTTATCTATAACTACCATTATCTCAATTTTTTTCAAAAATGGACTTGCCCCACTTTCAAAATAAACGGCTCATATATATACAGTAATATACATACATACATACATACATACATACAATGTATAGTAATGCCTAAACCTTCTTTGTCTAGGTGCATCAGGTACTCTTACACTGATCCTAATTAGCTTAACAACACAACAGTTTATCTGTGACATTTTATGACCTAATGTCTTTCCCTTTTTGGATGAAATGACATAGGCATACACTAACTTCTAGTAAAAATCCAGCAAAAAATACCAATGAATTATGACAACAGATGGAAATGAGTAGGATAGCCTCTCTCAAATCAAAATTAAGCTTCTGTACAATTCATTACCAAATCATATTGCAGTATGTATTGCCAGCAGAAGTGCTCCCTACAAAATCTTTAGTTATTAGTTCTATATTTCTAAAATAAAATGTTTGGATTGAAATAATCCAAATCTGTGAAATATGGATTATTTCTTAGTTAAGCTACACTTATGTCACATACAAATTTTTTGTTGTTAGAATGATCCTGCAACTACAGAATGCAACACTTTTTGCCATAGCATATCAAATTTAAATAATGTATAACTTTTTACATCATCATTTCATTACATATTATATTTTAATTAAAAACTTTAAAAACCTATGATCCAGCACTTTATTTTAATACTTGCAAACATTATATAATTATTAAATTTAAAGTAGAATATGTTTGCCATAAGACAAATTACACTTTAAATTTAAAAGTTTAAAGTTGTATTTCATAACAATATATATAAATTCAACCCAATAAATTGATTCACAAATTTAAAAATAATAACTTATGTGATTTTAATATGCTTTGTAATAAGACTTCTGACACAAAGAATTCCAAAAAATTTTCATTAAATAAATATTTAAAAAATTATTATTATTAAATATAAATTTTACCTTCATTGTATTGAAATTGCTTTTTAATTCTCTTTCTCCATGAAGCAATATTTTAATATTTGCCGGAATTTCAAGTCCAATTCTTTGTAAACATGTTGCTTCTCTGATAGTTTGGAATAATGATTTAGCAAAATTAATATGAAATTCTTTAGTTTCTGGATGATGAACTAGAATTGGCACATGTAAACCTAAGAAAATTTAAAAATTGATTTAAGAGAGCTTTACTATAATGTTTAGTCCAAACTAATAGATATTTGTTGTTTAGTTAAAAAAACATTTTACCAAAATTTAAAATTATTCATTCTATATAATAAACAACTAAACAGTAGCCCATGTTCAATTAAATAAAATATTTAATAATTTTTGAACTTCACATTCAGAAAAAAATTACATTCAAGGAAAAGAGCATAAATATCTTTTTGTTAACTATTTAATAAAAGTTTAACACAAAAATAAATGAACTTCAAAACAACATATATATAAAAAAATTTATATTAACAGTGAATTTCTTATTTATATATTTATTTAATATTTTTTATTATTCTCAATATACAGTAAAAAATAAACACTTAACTAACAAATAATTTACAATGGATTAAATAGCAATACAGGTACACTAAGACTCTACACTGCCTCGATTGACACTGATTTGATATAACACAGTCTGCCCGAAGACTTAAAAATACTCAAAAATTTATGCTTATTCAAATTATCATGGCATTTGATCAATTCATATATAATACAATTATTCCCGAACACAAATCAATCAGCACAAAACGTGGAAATTCATCATAGTACCGTACTTTCCTTAAATATATGTTTGTGTTGTGCAATTTTGAAAAAAATATAACATCATGGATGCCATAGGCAATATCGACTTCACTTGGCAAGAATTAACTGAGAAATGCAGGAACAAAGTGTGGAAGAAGGTATGGCCGGCGGTATCCAAAGAATTCTCAACAAGAAAAGCCTATCACTGTATCATTAGATTGACCAAATTTTCAACCTAATCAATACAGCAAAACTAGATGTAAAAGAGCAAATTATTGAGGAGTTTCTGGTGCAGATTTCTGGTGAGAGCCTTACCAATGACAACTTTCAATAACTGGCAGAACCAGGAATTCATGTAAAACTAGAAAATAGTGATTCTGAAAATGAAGAATTCAAAGAACTTGCTACAAACAATTATCATTACCAAACTTTTACTCCTTAGTAAAAGTTTAATAATGATAACTGAAATTGTTGATCAAACTCTAGCAAATGATCCAGATTTTGAAAGGAGTGCAAAAGCAAAATGAGACATTTTAAATAAGATTTTCTGTTACTGACATTTGCTTAAGGAAAGAAAAAAACAACAAATGAAACTACATGACTTTATCACAAAAAAACAGGAATTTCAGAAAAGCCAGGGCCTTCATCACAAAAAATGAACTTTACATTTTTGTATGCATATGTTCAGGTTATGTGTGTGTGAGATTAGCAGTGGGTAACTGGTTAATCCCCAAATGACCTCTTACTCTGCACAGGCTGGTAAAACCCGATCTTGGGATCGTTGAATGGCTAGGAGGGCAAATCGAGTGGGGAGGGGGTGAGGAAGCTGGCAGGTGTCCTTAAATGACAGGAGACAGGTTCAACAGAATAATAAACATTTATTGAATGGCAAAGCTAGGATACATAAGGCAATAACAATATATAGGTTAAATGCGGTTAGATACAACTCAGAATAAATGTGGCTAACATACTATACTCCTTCCTCCAAGGATTAAACTAAAAATACACTTAGGGAGAGAGAGAGTCCGCAGGTTCAAATAATTACCTCAAAGAGAGCTCTATGTGGCAATTAAGTGTTTATGTGGAAGTTCCTATGGTCTTCTATATGGTATCTTCTCCTTTTGTCAGGTTGAGTCCGTTATATGAAGGTTCGGGAGACGAGATGCACACATCGACAAGTATAACTTTCGAGAGATCGCCCCGAACTTCTGGAGATTCAAGCTTTTATATCATTCGCATAGGAAAACTGACACGTGATTGACTTTTGTTGACGATGATGGTGCATTCTTCATACCTAAGTGTAAACTTTTCCACCTAGTTGTTAGTACAATTGGTGACATCCGATCTAGTTCAAATTCCTCGGGTTTTTTCCAAAGATATTTTCAATTAATAGAACATTTCGATTTTTAAGAGGCCCATAAAAATCTGTGGGCTCACATGTGCATATGTGTTATTTAATATATATTATTATGTAAATTAATATAAAAATAACTTAAAATTAAAGTAAAATCTGTTTATTTTTGGTCACATGTTCCCCTTTCCCTATTTACTCTATGTTAAAATAACCTCGTTAAAAACTGTTTGATTTAGCGCTTTCTCATCTAGAAACACATCCCCAATTAAGTGGGGTCTTACTGTAGTCACAAAATTATGACAGTTCTGTTCCAGAACTCCCATTATAAGCCAAATCAGTTTTAAGCAAAATATAAAAAATAATGGTGATAATATATTGATATTTCCTACGGACATGCATAAATCTATATAAAATATTGCTTTATATGCTTATTAGCAATATTAATTAATTTGTTTATTAATTAAAGATTGTATTTATAAAATACCATAATTAATTAATTAAAATAATAAGCTTTATGAAAACATACAGGAAGACAACCGTGTTCTCATACATCTATCAATATTGAGGGAGTAATGAAATCTTTATGTGAAATTGATTTTATTTTTACTTTCCTGGCTGTTATATATAACAGAGGGAAAGTATGACAATCAGTCAAAAAATGACTCCCCCAAGATTTTTACATTTTTGGACACAGGGCACCTTAAAATATTGAGAAATGAAAAAAAATTTGGAGTCTGATCTGTATATAAGGATGTTTCTTTGTGTGTGGGAGGGGCACAATTTTGTTCACCCTCTTTAAAGCTTAAAAATGCCTGTATCTTTTGTTGAAAATTTATGAAATTTTTCAGGGAGATTTGTGTATTACAGAAATTGATACTATTAAATTTGTGTGGTTAAAGGTCGACAAAGTGGGCAGATAGAGGAGGGTCATCTGTCATATCGTGAGTAGAATCAAACTTAGTAAAGATTTTACTCATTATTAGTATTTATAATTTTCTACAAAACCCTACCTTCAAGCTTTTTGCCATTTTATAATAATTACAAATATAAAAAGCTTTTAAATAAAATATTGTAACAGATTGCACCACACATGCTGGTATGTATGATCATCAGAATTAGGTGTGAAAAAATGGAAATGGATTCCCTCGGACACAGAGTAACAGCTTTATTGCACAAGGATGTAACAAGAATGTGTATTGTGCAGGCTTGCTCACAATATATATATANTTTTTTAATAAAACCCATCCTTACCCTCAAAATTAAGCTTTTTGCCATTCTATAATAATTAAAAATACAAAAAGTTTTTGTTATAACAGATGACACCATACACACAGTTTTAAATGTTGCTGGATTTTTATTAACAATAAATTATATAAATGAAAGTTAACAATTTAACTTGTCATAAAATTAAAATTGGAATAATAGCTCCAAACCAAACAGCTCTATAAAAAGTTAATTTCAAGCATTTTCATTTTTTGGAGTCTAACAGTGTCAATGTGAATTGTAATTAATAATGATTAAACTTAGTTATTGTTATATAGTCATGTTTACTGTCCATTACAGTGTCAAATTAGCATTAAATTACTATACTATGACATTAGTCTGACCAATAATTTAAATTCAAAACAGTTTTTTTTAATATTACTAGTTTTTATAGAAAATATATATTAATAAAATAAATTATAAGTAGAAGGAATTATAAACTGGAAAGTTATAAGTCAGGGACTGACTGTATTATTAGTTATGTAAAATCTGTGAGTTATACAAAGGCGCACACTCCAGATCAGAAAAAATAAAACACAATTATTTATTTATTCGCTAGTTCAAATACAGATTTCATAGGATACCAACAATTCTAGTTGTCCCTTTTCCCGAACCGAACATCCAATTAACTAAAATTGTCTTACTTAATACTAGGTTCTTATTACTACTTAAACTAATTGAATATAGCTGGCTTATTCGAAGATTTAGAAGATAAAAGAAAAGAATAAGGAAAGAGGGTACCCAAAACTTGATGATGCAGGTTGAATTGTGTGGGCTCGTGGATGAGGCTTCTCATCGGTCGGGGGGGCTGATTCACTCAATTCTTGTTTCACACTGAGATATTAGAGAGGTTGAGGCAGATGTTTTAAACGTGTAAACGTATAGGTCAGACGTTCGGCGCCGCTTTCCTGTAAGCCTAAAAGTTTGACAATGGTGTTTGGATAGTCGGTGGAATCACGCTCGACATTCCAAACATCATCGTCAAACTTCTAGGCTTACGGGAAAGCGACACCGAACGTCTGTCCTACACGTTTACACGTTTAAAACGTCTGCCTCAACCTCTCTATTAATCCAAAAGGGGCGATCCGTCTGGTTCTTCTCAATTAAGTTCCTTTTTCTTTCTCTCGTTCTAAAGTCCTCTTTTTCTTTTCTTACCATACAATGTCAAACTTACAGGGGAGGCTTTCCTTTCGATTTCCCCTTTCCACTTCCTTCCTCTCAGTCTCCCGTCCTTTCCCTTCTCCTCTCACTTCCAGTCTCTCCTCGTTTCTCCTCTCCCCTAACTCCATTCGTTCTCCCCCTTCTTAACTCCCCCTCGTTCCTCCTCTCACCTTAGTCCACTCATATCCCCTCTCAAAAGCCTTCCATTCCTTCCTTTCCTCTCAGTCCACCCACACACTCAAGTCAATGGGAAGACGATAACATTATAGAAGAGTAAACAAATAGGACAGACGAAGGTGGAGTGAAGAGATATATATATGTTACAGTCAAAACCCGTTTTTAGTTAAAATGCATTTTAACTAGTTGAAACTAGTTTATACTGACTGTCTTTGTTAAAACCCATTTTGTCTAGGTGAAACTAGTTTATACTGAATGTCTTTGTTAAAACCCGTTTTGTCTAGTCGAAACTAGTTTATACTGAATGTCTTTGTTAAAACCCATTTTGTCTAGTTAAAACTAGTTTTAACTCAAATTCATTTTTGACTACTGTAAATTCTAGTTTTAACTAGACAAAACCGATTTTGTCTAGTTAATTTACTGCTGTACATGTTTTGACTTTTGATAAAACTAGTTTTAACT